AAAAATAAACATAAAAGTTAAAATTAAAATAAAAAATAGTCCTTATATACATAAGGAAAAATAGTCCTTATATATATAAGGACTATTTTTTAAATAAGGTCTGTTTGTGAATGAGAATGACATGCAACTGCAGCAGTGCGCATATGCGTGCACTTCCAGCATACTTGCTTTGTGCATGTTTAGATGCCAATTGCAGCCGTATCATCTGTCTGTGTGCTGTGCTGTAGAAGTTTATAATGTTTAAGAAAATTGAGTCGCCCCCAACTGTGAGATATGATCTGTTATTCGATTCTTGAGTGCAAGAAATGCGGTAGCAGTGGAAATTCACTGTCAGATTTGTGAAGTTTATGGTGATAATGCTATGAGCGACAGTAAAGTTCAAAAATGGGTGAGTATGTTCAAGGACAGGTGGGTTAATGTGCATGATAAAGCCCTGGCCAACCTTCTCTGATTTCTGAAGATTTGGTTTGTGATGTGGAGAACAAAGTTGAAGAGGACCAATGATTCATGATTTCATTGTTATCAATTGAATTTCCACAGGTTTCAAGGTCAGTTTTATACCATTGTTTCAGAAAAACTGAATTACTAAAAATTGTTCTCAGTGGGTTCCAAGACTGCTTTCTGATGATCACAAAACAAAAAGATTGGGCAGTGCTTTATAGTTCTTGACTCAATACGATCAGGAAGGAGATGAATTGCTGGACCACATCGTTACAGAAGACGCAACTTGGATGTCTCACATGATTCCTGAGTCCAAGCAACAGTCAATGCAATGATGACATACATTATTGCCAGCCAAAGTGAAAGCCAAACAGACTATTTCAGCATGAAAGATCATGGCAACTGTCTTTTGGCACAGGAAAGGGATTTTGTTAGTGGATTTTATGTCAAGAGGCACAACAATCAATTCTGATGCATATTGTATGACCTTGAGAAAACTCCAGCATGTCATACAAAACAAGTAGTGTGGCCTACTGTCTTCTGATGTGATGTTGCTCCAAGACAATGCATGGCCACATGTTTCTGCACAAACACAAGGTCTAATCAGTTCTTTTGGATGGAAACAACTGGATCATCCACCTTACGATACAGATCTTGCACCCAGTGATTTTCACTTGTTTTGGTACTTAAAGGAATTCCTTGGAGGTCAACGGTTCAATGACAATGAAGTAGTAAAAGCTGCAGTCATGGATTGGGCTTCTTCACAGGTGGCAGATTTCTTTGAAGTTGGAATTCAAAAAATTGTTGAGCAGTATGACGAATGTTTAAACAAAAACATTAATTATAGTTAATTATGTAGAAAAGTAGATAAAAGTATGTAGAGTATGGGAAAAGTATTTTTTAATAATATTTATAGTATTTTTCTTCTTATTAAAAAACGGACCTTATTTAAAAATACCCCTTGTGTTTTTTAATATAATTTAAATAATTTTTTAAGTTTTTCAATATAATTTGAAAATTTAAAGAAGTGATAAATATTGCTAATAAAAAATTTTTTATAAAAAAGAACTTTTTATTAAATTATTATCGATATCAATTTTTTAATAGTAGTTACCTGAGCTTGCAAAGGATGCATCATCAGTTGCTGAAGAACTTCTGTAGAAGGTAGTAAATCTATTAGTCGGGCATTCTGGTATCGGACGGCTTGGCAAAGAAAAACTGATAAATAACGGTGGAGAGGAAGATGAAATGATACTTGATAAGGATTTGGCTGTTAATTTAAATACATTAAAAAATGTTATCGATTTTTTTCATTTGAAAGTATTTTATAAGAAATAAAAATCTATTCGATAAAATATTACATATAAAAGTTTTACTATATTAATGTAAATTTTATATAGTTACTTCATTCTTTCAGTCATTTTGAAAAGTTACCAATTAAAATTCCTCTATAAACATATCTTAAGCATGATTTTAGACATGTTTATAGGGAACAGAGACGACTACATGATATATCATTAAAAACATATTCAAAAATACACAGAAATAAACTATATAACATTTGATCAATAAGAACAATTATTATATATGATAAAAATACTAAAAATTTGTACAACCTTTTTTCATTTTTCTTGATTAATAAATTTTTCATTTCACAGGAAAAAAATTTGTGAAAAAAAATTTGCATGATAAGATATTAAATAATAATAATCATTCTTATTTAACTAAATTTAATTGAAATAGACAGTTAAACAAAGAATGTAAATTATAAAATTATAGCTAGTACAACAAATAGTTTATAATAAAATTTAAATCAGTTTCACTCAGATTAGTATTTTTCAACTTTTTTCTCATTGTGGACAAGTAAAATTTTATGTGGCCTAAGTAATTATATGCAACTATGAATTATACTTATTTATTAATCTTATATGTGGGGAGTCTGATATTAAAGGTACTGTACAGGCCAAAATCACATTAACATTTATAAATAAAGAAAATATTTAATACATTCCACAAGAAGTTTATTTCTCGATATAATTGCTGTAAATGTAGAGACATTTATTCCAGAATGACACTAGTTTGAACATCCCTTCATGATACTGTTGCTTGTCAAGTTGCTTGAAGTAGTTCAGAACAGTATCTTCCAATTCCTCGTGATCTGCAAAGTGTTTCCATGGAAAAATTTCTTTAAAGGTCCAAATAAATGAAAATCCAATGGGGGGCTAAATTTGGACTATATGGAGAATGTTGCAGGACCTCCCAATTCCGCTGTGCCAACCAGCTTGGTTTGATGAGTGAAGTATAGTCCAGATTTAGCCCCCTTGAATTTTCATTCATTTGGACCTTTAAATAAATTTTTGGTGTGGAAATGTTTTGCAGATCAGGAAGAATTGGAGGCTACTGTTCTGGACTACTTCAAGCAACTTGACAAGCAAAGTACCGTGAAGAGATGTTCAAACTAGTGTCATGCTGAGATAAATGTCTCTACATTTATGGCGATTATATCAAGAAATAAACAAAAGTATGCAGTACTTGTGGAATGTATTAAATATTTTCTTTATTTATAAATGTTAGTGTAATTTTGGCCTGTACCTTTAATATTGGATTCCTCTCATAAATGCTTTATAGAGTTACTGTACCTAATTAAATATGTACAGTAACTCTAGATTACTATTTAAATGTCACCTGTTGTTCAGATTGTACCAACTTCAGTATAGTCAAATATTTTTCTGTGGACTGGTGAAATTTTTTCTTGGACTGGCAGTTGAAAAACACTGACTCAGATATCATGCAAAAATTATTAAAATATCCATTATCATATAATAATTGATATATAAACATGATCTAACTGCTCTTTGTAAATGAATAAATGGAATAATGTGAAATATGTATTCTTTTTAAAAAATCTTTTTATATATAAAGTTATCATTTTTTTAACATACACACACATATATATATAAACTTTATCATAAAAGATACTATAGTAAAAGAAGTGATTGTTAAATTAAAGTTACACTATTTTATCTGTTTAATTTGTTTCTAGAAAAAACAAAAACATTATTTGTATCTAGTTGTTCCATTTCATTTTGCTTATTACTTGGTTTTAAAAATAAAAAATTATTGAAATTGGATTTTAAATCAGGAAGCAATTGGCTTTATCCATTAAGTTAATCTTATGAGTTTTGAAAACCTGTGTTAATGTACACTGGGTTTACCACATACTTGAACTTCATAGACAAAAGTCCAATCCCAACATAGTAATAAAAACTACTGACATGTTTTTATCTTGATTAATCAGACACTAACATATGCAAACAACAGACAAAAATTTCCTACCATTCCTACTCTCCAAAACTTTTGTAAAGTGAACAGTACAATGGGTTTATGTTTCTCAAAAATATTGTTTAAAAAATATTATGCTTATCTTTGATGCTATTATTTGCAAAATTTCTTTGTACTCTTAAACTTGTCAAAGTTTCCACTTAAAATGAAAAGAGAAGTTTAATTTTATTTTAAATCAAGAGACTCTTTTGATACATGTAATATAACAAAATCTTTCGATTATATTATATAGTTTTGGAAATATTAGCATGTAACACATTATGTGTAGCAGCCTGTATATCTTAAATAGTAAAGAGCAAGTAACAAACCATTAAAAATATTTCACTTGAAATTTTTATTGATCTGTAATTTTTTTTTAAATTTTATTCTAGAAAATATCTTTTATAAGACATACAATTTTATTACACAAGAATAAAAGATAATAATTTTATTAATGTATAACAAACTATTTAAATTATAATTAAATATATTAAATTTTATTATTATTTTCTAATATAATTAATAATTTGGCGCACACATAATTATGTGTGCCAAATATAACAGATAACTTACTTTATCAGAAGTAGAAAAACCAATAGCATCAAACCAATCTTCTAAGGCTATTAAACAATGAGAAATTACTTGTTTTGTCAATCCAAGTTGTTCCTACAGAAAACATTTCAATTTTAGAAATAACAATGAAAAATTTTAAAAATTTAACTCTACAAAATTTTATTTTACATTCATTTAAAATTTATGAAACTTTTATGATTAATCTTATTATTAATAATTGAAAAATTTATAATTCAATTTCATTTTACTTTCTCTAATAATTTAACAAAAGTAAATGAAAAATACAGTAGGCCCACACTAATTTGGACTAATTGGGGAAAAACCTAGTCCAAATTAATGAGGCTCAAAATGCATGGTATAGTAACTCAACAATAATAAACAATTGCTTGCTATTGTTGAGTTACTGTCTAGTGATAATTTTAGAATCCTATTAATAATGTGTATATAATAACTTGTAATAATTGTACTGCTAATGTATAATGTAATGTTAGAAAATTGTCACCATAGCCTGTTTTGTAGGTCACTCAATTAATAAGAGTCAGTAAGGACAAAATGCATTTTGGAATAAGTTAATTAAATAAACTGGGTGTGTAATAAGCTTGTTCATTAGTCATATGTAACTAAGTAGTTTTTGTAATTAAATAATACAGGCAAGAAGCTTTTTAATATATTATCTAAAAATATGTTTAACAAAAAAATAAAACCATTTAAAAAAATATAAATTTTTATGATCAATAATATATAAAAGCTAGATCAAACTCATTAATTAATCTATAACATAAACTAATTTTATTTAAATACTTACAGGAGATTTTAAATGAGATATCAAAGCCCACATGGGAGTAGCTGATCCCTCTAATTCAGCAGAAAAAGCAGCATAATACGTATTTGGCTCAAATTCTACATGTTGCGATAATTCTCTTTGATTAACATTCATGCCTAACAAAGTAAAATATTTTTAAAATTCAAATATTGTAACTAGATGGAAAATGTGATGAGCTCATTTATCAAATGTTGATTATTTTATACATGTATGTTTTAATTCAGTTAAACTTTTGCCGTTTGTAGACCAGCATCAAAAAATATATATAATAATAATAATAATAAAGTAGCAAATATAATACACCAAGAACTTGCAAACAAACACAAATTATTAGACATCCATGAACCATACTACAAATTCCATAGACAGTATTGAAAAACAACACACACAAAACATATTATGACAGAGCCATAATCACAGAATATACCACAACAGACCAGACATCACACTCATTGACAAACACAATAAAATCACATACATTATAGACATCCATTCCAAACATTCATAATATACAAAACACATGCACTGAAAAAATCAGCAAGTACACAGAACTCACCCAGGAAATAAGGCATCTGTGGAGGATGGATAGGGTACTTATTGTAGTACCACATACATTACACAAAAGCCTGGAAACATTACAATTGAATAGAAACACATATATCACACTACAGAAGGCCACTATATTGAATACGTGTCATATTGTTAGGAAATTCCTGAATACAGATACACACACTGACACACTTATTTAATCCGGCATACTACTGTACATGGCAACCAGTGTCAACGAGTATAACTCACTAAACTCAACTTAATAATAATAATCTATTTATTTATTTTTAATTAAATAATGTCCTAAGGCAAGTAATGAACTCTCTCTAACAATAAAATGAAATACTAATCCAACAAAAGCAAGACACAACTTTAAAATTGCTTAAACATATGAAAGATATTATCTTTTTATATATTAATTTAAAATGAGAAGAATTCAGATGGAATCTGTCTTCAATAGGGCATAAGGATATAAAGGTTTGAAAATAGAATGATTTTAAATAGAAGTATTTAAGTCTCAAGTGATTAAATTTAAGTATAACATGAGTATGAACTCAAAGATAAATATTATCTAGTGGCAGAAATCTATTAAAAACATTAAAATAGGATCAGAATATTTAATTCTTTCATGAAAACCTGGATAACTAGTAATGCCTTGATTAATTAATGTAAGACAATTCCAAGTTCTTTAACCTATTCGATGTTGAATATTTTCTCCGTCGCGTGTCACTCCATGTTGAATATTTTTTGATGTCAAGCCTAACACGATCACACATTTTAGAAAAATAATAATTGTGGCTATTGTATTATTCCAGATTAACACAAACTAGATATATTAGGGAATGTAAAAAATAAAAAATTTTATTTTAAAAGTTAATTTTAGTGTGATATATCTCGAAACAAGATACAACACACAGTGGAACATTACACTGAACACATTGATAACATGATTCTGCACGTTTTTTGTGAGCCGAACATACTTTACATACTCTGGATGGATGCTTTTTTTTCTCTGTAGGTGGTATGAGACTAGGAAAATGCAGTTCGGATAAATGTAATGGATTTTCATGTGATGGTCAACCGTGGCGGGCTAGATGTCTGCTTGTGTGATACTTCTCTATCACTTCTCTGATTACAGACATACGAAAATCTAAAAATGATATTTGTTTTTTCGTATGTTTTAAATACAAAATACAAGCATTATATAATGTAATATCCATCATATGAAAAAACACTTTTTTGTACCATTTTACCATTTTTCTCATACATGGACAATTGTGTATTACTCCATCAGAGAGATCAATACCACCCATATTGCGATTATAATCCAAAATACAATTTGGTTTCCTTATAATTTCCCCAGATCTGTCACATTTACCTGAATCAGAGAATTCGTTGTCACTCATTGTACTTAGAATTGCCACATCCCTTTTGTCTTTCCAGCAGAACACAGACAATTCATCTTTCTGACAGGTGATAAATTCCCCTTCTTTCAATTTACGATTAGGAAAATTATGTGGCATTCCTATCCGATTTTTATTTACAGTTCCACATACATAAGATTTTTTTGTCTAGAAGTGTTTTCACTAAGGTCGGTGAGGTGAAAAACCTATCTAAAAACACCTTGTGATACTTACCGAACAACGGTTCTAATAAGGTTAGCACAACCTTCTCTCCTTGCCCATCTTCAAAATTTCCATATTCAGTAGTAGCTCCAGTATAAACTATAAAGTCCCAAACATATCCTGTTTGTGACTCACAAATTTCGAAGCTTTTCACTCCAAAATGAGTACGCTTGTTCGGTATGTATCGCCTAAATCCCAATCTCCCTTTACATAGCATAAGACTTTCGTCTACACAGATATTTTCCTCTGGGAGATATACATTTTTGAACTTGTGGTGTAAATGATTGATAACACTGCGTAATTTATGCAGTCAATCATCACCACCTGAAGCTTGATTATTGTCCGTAAAATGCAGACAGCACAATAAAAGTTGAAAGCAGTTGCTCAACATCGCACTTGAGAAAAAGGGTGTCAGAAAAAGATCTTCAATCGTAAAATACATGCTTAAGCGTGGTTTTCTAATTATGCTTGTGACCATTATAAGTCCTAGAAATTCTCTAATTTCTGGATTTGTCATTGGTTTCCAGTTTTTTATCTGACTATTCTCTCATAAATTGTCACAGTTTAGCAAACTATCACCATACCTGTTCATTTCTGAAACAATCTTGTTGACGAGTTCGTCATCGAAAAATACACTGAAACAGTTGAACAGTGTAGAATCACTCCGTAGATTACATAGTATTCCTAATGGTCCCATAAAACTGTTCACTTGAGGATGTCTGAAATTTGTATGAATCCATCCATTGTCACTACTAAATCATGGACATTCAGCAGTATTACTTCGAGTACTGCCACGTGATCTCCCTCTATATCCACTCGTAGATGATGAATCGGGATGAAAATCACCACTGTCATCAATTACATTTTGATCTGGTATGTAATCATCATTGCTGTCTGAAAATTAAGATTCATCAGAATTTAAATTGAATAAAAATTCGATAACTTCTGACTTATTTAGAGTGCTGTGTCTACTACTTGCTGCCATGTCGAAAGACAGAGATTTGAGACAGTGGTCTGATTTTCTTTGTGATTTCTAACAAAGAACAATTCCTAGAATTTCAATATACTGCTGAGCAAAAACTAGATAACATATTGGTTCTTCTGATATGAGTCACTTATTTCAAAACAACATACAAGTAGCGACATCTGATGTTTAAAAAATGTTCCGATGTAAACAGGTAAATTTTTGGGATCGCCCATGCAGGTCAACATGTACAACAGGTTAAAAATATAACTATAACAATAATCTGTTTTATTGAAGTTCACTTTAATAACAGTTTTTCTAAAATACATTCAAGCAACCTAGCACATTTATCAGAAGATAAATGGGCTTGTTTGCTCAAAAGTAAATTAATTGACTACTGTTAGTGGTATTTGTGATACTACTAGCAATACTCAATTCTATAAATTTTAGAAGTGTCAGACAGATTTTTAAAAGTGTGTTTCATTATATTCTTTGCTTTTACTGTATTTTATTCTACTATTCTTGGGGGATACCAAGAATATAATGCTTTTTCAAAACAATTGCATTATACAAAATTACTAATGTCAAAAAAACTAATCATTCTTTAGATTTCCATTAAAATATATGGATAATAAAAGCAAGTTAAAATAGGAAAAGTGTGTGTGTGGGGGGTGTACCAAGCATATACATTTAAGCCTTTGTATTTTCTAATTCAAAATGTAAACTTTTAGATACTGTATCTTCTTGAGTGGTTTACTTGCATGAATTCAAGTTTTTATGTACACTCAAACTGTATGCATTTGTTTTAGTCATCAATGGTGAAAATGTTTTCTGAAATTCCCATCTATTATCAGCACATTGATGCAATTGTTGTCATTCATTCATATTTGTTATATATTAATAGTATAAACAATACAGAACATTATCAATAGTATATTCTTTTTAAAAATATCAATGTATTAGAAGAGCAAAGCAATCTTTCATTATTTTAAAACCAAAATGGATTTATGCCAGTAACTCACACATTCAAATTACAATATAGATATGGACAAAAATACAAAATAATAATATTTTCTGAAATTTCTGTTGAAACCAAACATAAAATCAAGTAAAGCAAATTTATACTTTTAAACACTGAAAAATTTTCTGCTCAAGTGTGAAGTCTCTCAAGATGACATTCACTTTGGTCATGTAGTCCTATATTAATCTGTAAAATAGCAGATAGTACCAGAGTCATAAGACTAAAGTAGCAATGCTTCATAGTGGTATAATTTGCCTATACCATTCTTAAATGTCCATCTATTAGAAAGTATATAACAAAATACCATATACATATGTATGCATCTAAAACAAAAATTTACCTCTCCTGATTATTCTTATAACAGCAGTCCTACGTAATCACTTATAGGTGATTAAGTAAAACATTTTCCAATAAAAATTACATTCAAAACAGTGATGCTTCACCTAATTGCTCACAGGCAATTAGGTAAAGGATTTACAATAAAAAAATTTATTAAGAATTTATATATTAACACTAAATACACAGTACAGTGGATAATGAATAATGAACAAATCTGATAACAAACACTTTCGTGAAAGATTTTTATGTTCAGATAACAAACACGAGAAGAAGCAACGTAAAATAATGAATACTGATTCGTCTTCCCTTGCCTTCGGGCAACAAATTGAAACTTTTCAGAGAGCGGAAGACGTCAACATTGATGCTCAACCCAGTATATACTGATCGGATAGTATTCCTCTGAACTTTTAAACTCTCCCTTGTAATTTTAGCCTTTTATTTTTCTGACAGAAACAATTCTTTCATAGTATTCGCAAGACTGTTATGCAGGCACTCGTTAAGTTTTGTGTTAATTTTTACTTTCGAAAGGTGAGAGTATAATAGCAAAGGTAGAGAGAGAGAGTGGGCAGAAGATGTCTGATGTTGCTGGGCAGTATGACTTAAACAGGTCTACAGTAGGCTGCCATTCAATCTTATCTAAGAAAGATACTGTACAATTGAGAAGACTCAAGCAGATTAAGGAGTAACAAAAATCACATCTGAGAAATAAAGAACATTGAAGAGCTCATAATGAAACCTGAAACTGATCTGACAACAGAAGAATGCCAAGAAACTCAGCGAGATATTTTTTTTTTTTTCTGAAAAAGAGGATTAATGCTGATATCTGCTATTAAACATCTTTTGAAAAAGTGGGAGGATGCCAGAACAACAGTCTTAGAATGGCATCCAAACTAGGTTGAGGTTAATAGGCTTGGAGATCTCTACAATTACAATGCTATTAATTACTTCCGAAAAATTCTGAAGAAGAGAGAAAAGCAATCAACATTGGACAGATTCTTTAACCCCCACAAACAGAAAAAACATGACCAATAAAAATGCAAACTGTATATATGTATTTTTATTATTACATATAAATAAACATAGTAAGAAAGTATCAATTTTTTTATTTTTTGGAGTTTCCAGAACAAATTAATCAAATTCCCATAAAAACCTATGGTAAATCAATAATCGGTTAACGAACAATTTGGATAGTGAAGTCTTGGAACAGATTATGTTCTTTAAACGATCACCCACTGTATCATTATGAATAAAAAGCAATCTAACATTAATATAACCATACTGTCATAATTTTCTCATTAATATCTGAAAAACTTTTAAAAATGGATAATAGTTGGTAAACAGGAAGTGAACAATAACATAAAACTTATATCATTTTGATTTTGCTATGACTTAGAAAATTGTATGTTTTAAATAAAGTAACTTCTATGATTTATTACAAATATTTTTGAAGTTGATGTAAATATATTTCACATGTAAATCTTGACATACTATAAATATTAATTAGAATTTTTTCAAAGATAAATTGATAAAGAATTTAATTTTTAAAAATATTTAAAAATTTAATATTTATATATACCTTGAAACATACAAAGAAGTGAAAGCCACATATCTAACAATCCTGGATCACTCAAAAATTCAAGTGCCACTGGACGATGGGTAAGTACATTATTTAAATCACTGACTAGAGGCCAATAACAGTGATTTTTCATAACTGTATGACCACAGTTAACAACATAATGAAAGTTTTTCTCTGCATCTATAAAAAAATTTAATCATAATGTACATTATAAAGATCAAAGGAAATAATGTTATAAATTTTAAAGAAGTTTGTTTAAAAATTATTGAAACTGAATGAAATAATTTGAATGTTTTATTCTACATCTTAAAAATGTACAATATATGTTAAAAAATAACTTTTATTCAATTTTTCATTTCCTATATTATTACTAATTATTTCATAAAGTATTTTTTATTTTAGATTGCTTTATGATGATAATATTACATCAAAACTCTGTTAAATTTGCCTCTTAATTCTATTTTTTATTAAAAACCACAGTGAACAGCCTGCTGTACAGAAATCAAACTATTTGTTGAAGCTATGTGCATAACTATAAATAATCAGATTCCTATAAGAGAAAACTGTTCACTGTGTTTCTAAATACTATTAACAGCCAACCAGATCTGCCAATATGAGATGTATCAAAAATAAAAAGAAAAAGTTAACATACAGAATATCATTCAGATATTTAATTGTTCCTAGTTATTTTTATCAAAATTCCAGAAATAATTTGTAAAAATATGCATGTAACATGCACAATAACTGTAGTATATCATTTTACAGTGTGAAATCTCATATTACATGAAGGAACAATAAATTACCTTGAACCAGAGTCAAAAAATACAAAACTTTATTTATCTAACTTAAGAACCAGATCTGGTCTTTAACTTCTACAAAAGAAAAAACACTCAATTAATTAATCTTTTATAATATAAACAAGAAAACAACCAGACAAATTAAAAATCCTTAATAATAACAATAAATTAAAAAAAAACCAATCAAGATCAATTACAAGTCTATATAATTAAATACTAAAAGATTTAGTTTGACAAATAAATTTTCCATAACTATTCATAAAATATGTTTACAATTCATATCTTCTATTTTGTTATGAAATACAAATATGGAATATTTATCCTTCTAATAATAATTATAATGAAACAAAATGTTTTTAATCTAGCAAATATTAAATTTTTATGGATATTGTTTGTCTTAACTTATATAATCTAAAACAAAATTCATGAAGAAATAAAAAAAGAAAATAATATCAAGTGCTCAAAAACTTAGATATATTATTGTAAAAGTATTAAAATGAATAAAATTCCCACATTATTACAGACCATAATAAAAAAGTCATTTTATTTTTAATTGTCTATACTATTTAATATATTTTATGTACTGTACATTACAGAAATTGCTATAGTATAGCAACATTAGAATTAAGAATTATATAGTTAGTAAAAACACTGTCTTGCAAAAATTCAATTGTTTTAGTATCTTTTGAATGGTGTTTAAATCCTGATAATTTTAAATTAAATTAAAAAGATTATTATTTTAAAGATTTTCCTGAACATTTAATGCACAATTCAATGTCTTAAGATATCATTAATGAGCTGCTTTTTTTGGTTGCTCAACATGATCCTAAATATTTTCAATGATCAGTCAATATGGAATATCTCTGCTCTTAAATTTCATTCTAAACTCATTCTGCATTATAACAAAAACAATAATTTAATAAAACTGCTCCAAACAAAAACATATAATCTATATATAAATGAAGATGTTTATTTGTTTGCAATACATTCCTAGGCCATTTGATCAATTGCTACAAAACTTAGTAGTTACATTCACAAATTTCTAATTTAGATAATGTCATATATCCCATCCCAAAATATCTACTGAATTTCTGCAAATAAATTAATTTCTATCTACATTCATTTTGTTGATTTATATGTAGCACCATCTATCAGCAAAAATTAACAAAATAATAAACTAAACATAATTCTTATATATATAAAAAAAATATAATTTAAAAAAATTATATTATATTCACTTAATTACTGTGACAATGATATAGCATGAAGTAGACACACTATATCATTAGTATAACAGGTAGCAAGCACATAGCACTTGCCTGTGTGGAATGGAAAGTGTTACGCGTGAAAAGTCTATAAGTATTTAATTTTCCATATCCAACAATTCGAGTTTTTCATTTCTGAAAGGTTCTTTCTTAATTCTAAAAAGTACCCTCCAGCAGTCGAGTGGATAAAACCACAGAACATCAGTAGTTGGTCATGGCCAATAGACTGGCCACATGAATCTTTCCAGGTTTTCTTCACATCAGTAACACCTAAATAGGATCCAGCTTCCCATAAAAGTCTTCCCGGGATGCATCCCCCTTGGCAGATCATTCATGTGTTGCATTGCCATAACCAAATAAACAAAACTAATTCTTTACTAATTTGAAACAATTATGTAAGATAACGTTTGTAGTTATAAGAAAGTATTTGATGCATTCAATCAGACACTGGGCAGCTTTTTATCCTTTATTTATTCTTTTTTAGTTGATATGTATTTTGGTCCCATGATGCCCCTCCTCAGTCAACTTCTGTTCTGTATTACACATCAGTCAATTTTGAGTGATGTTCTAACAGTTTCTTAAAATTGGATGTATGCATGATTACAGATTTTTAATTTCCTTTCATTCTTATGTGTTCTTTAAAACAAAATTGTCTAATGTGTAATACAGAACAGAAGTTGACTGAGGAGGGGCATCATTGACCAGAAACACATATCAACTAAAAAAGAATAAATAAAGGATAAAAAGCTGCCCAGTATCTGATTGAATGCACTTTATCATGCTTGTGAAACAAAAACCAATTCTAACAAGCAATTATTTATTGTGACATCATCACAATGCTGAGCTGTAACTTTTTGTCACAATGTTCTCAATTCTTTTTAGTGGTCCCTGTACATCATACTTTTCCTGTTAGTAATAGAGTCATGTTGGTTATCTATCTAACTCTCTCTGTTCAGGGGAAATTTTTAAATCAAAGAAATGTGACTTCTGTTCCAAACCAGATGTTCATATATAGTTAATTTCTGCCTCCTGCTTCTAAGCTTTCCACATCTGATCTCGACTTTTATCTATCTAACTCCTTTCTCAACATTAAGGAAGGCCAGTCAAAATTTATAGGTCTACTATTTTTTCAAATTGCAGCACAATAACTTTTTTATAAATATGGTATTTACAAGAACATACTTCCCACATAGTTTATAAAATCTGTTGCCAAAATTTAAGCACTTTATTATCAACTTGTTAATACAAGACTTGTTTAAATAGAAAAAAGTTGTAAAAATACGAGAATTATTCTTGTATTTTTACAACTTTTTTCTATTTAAACAAGTCTTATATCAAGTCTTTCGAATGTTAAGGTTAGCAACTTCAATCACAACCTAACCAATAAGGATCACTTTTCAAATATTAATAGTAGATCAGTATTAATTAGTAGTCGTTGATCATCCTCTGTTCTGGGAGGAGGTCAATGACTACTTTTGGTTGAATTACTTCAACCCCCTTTTGAAACAGTCCCTTCTTCCTATCGGAGCAGCAATATGGTGGCATTCAAATAGGATAATTACACAATATGAGGTTACCAGCCTGCACAAAATATGTTTTAAGTGGTTTTTGTGTGTGCTGAGTTTAAATATTTGGTCCGTTTTTCGTGAAATTTGTTTCACTAGTGGATTACCATTTGATATTTAGTTGTGAATGGTACAGTTTCTTACAATTAGCATTAGAAAAAAAAATTTTTTAAATTAAAATTTTTTTATTTAAAAAATTAAAATTTTTTTTCTAATGTCTTAAAAAATTTAAGATATCATTTTTCAAAAATTTAAGATTATCACATTTTCAACTGATGTCTAATTTGATCAATGAAAGGCTAAAATGACCAAACTCTTTATATGGTTCTCATTTCAAAGTTCGTAATATTATAGTATTTGATTTATATAACTGCAAAGGTTATCTTACATAAGGGTTTATCACACTGAATGACCAATCTAGCACATTTCAAAAATTCTTTATTCCTTTACTATTGTGACAATGCCGAAGGGCCCCTTATACTTCAGCACCACGGGACCAAAGGGTCGACATCGCATTGGTGAAGATCGCAATGACAAGGTTTGTCAGGACTGACACCACCATGTCTTTATGGACAGACACAGAAACTGTTAGGTTCTCGTGCGAGCGGTCGTGTAACGAAGCAAACAGATTCGGGATGGAGGGAGAGACAGCGCACCGGAAGTGACTTACGCAGAGACGGGTTAACGTAACAACTATTTAATTGGTAACTATAGGCCATACAGGACATACAATATATCGATTTTAACTATGCTTGATTTTAGATACATTTGTTTCGAGGGATAATAGATATATAAAATGGACATTAAAGTTTCACGATTCCCAAGAGAGAGTTTACAGTAAATATGTGTAGCGATAAATACTTTATACGTTCTTTGTGAAAGAGAGGAAGTTCGGGATGTCAGTTCGGGTATCCTGTAGATGAAATATCTGTAAGTCTGATGGAACGTACAGTATCCACAAAGGTGTTAGACGATGGTTTCCAATGATATTTTAGTAGGATATAAGAACGTAAAATAAAATGATATATTCACAGATATCTGAATATTGAGGCACTTAGGACAAGGTAGGGTGACAACTGACTCTTTCGAAGGACGGGTGACGACTGTCTTAGTTTCTTGATTCCGTTGTCGAACCAATGAAATTGAGATATTAGGTCGAGAGGTGATGAGAAAGTGTAGTTAACAAGCCTGAGAACTTAACAGATGCTTTTTTTTCCCAGGTGCAAAAGTTGACAGTTATTTAACAAAAGTATAGCTATGATGTGATATTAGGAGATAATGATATAAACATACTGAAAGTCTGGATTCGGACCCTCACACTATACACAATTTAAAGAATTTTTAAAATGTGTTAGATTGGGCACTTGGTGTGTTAAACCATTACGTAAGATAACATTTGTAGTTATATAAATCAAATAATATAATATAACATAATAGAAGAGTTAGAAGTACAAAATAATCTAATAATCTTAATCTTTGCTGTCATTTTTTGCCAGGCTCATCTGCTAGTAGATCTATATAAGATTTGTTTTGGTATGCAAAGTTATTTATGC